CTCCATTTCCCTATCGTTGTCTATCTCTCGACAAACTCTTTTACTTTTCTCAACAAGTCTCTATCTCATTCCCCATTTCTCTTTCCCTTTTCCCAGTTGTGGAAAGATGAGGATCTGCACATGCCATCTCCTCTTCCTCAACCCCGATCGTGCATCATCTCCTCCTCCTCTTCTTCCTTCTACTTCTTCCCTTTCTTCTTCCCTTTCTTCTTCCCGTTCTTCTCTTTCTTCATCGTTCATTTTCATCATTAAATCATTCATTTAGCAATGTCAAATTCTCACTAATGTCACACTACTTTTTCATCGTTTTTTTTCGTTTTTCTCATCGATATTGTTGAGGGTGAACGAACGCTGACACAGTGGGTTTTTTTTTTTCTTTATTTATATTCTTTAAAAACATATTACTTATCTCTACAGGGTGCGGCAAAAGTTCTGACACTTTTTCTGTAAGCAGCAATTTTTGGCTTCAAAAACCCGTGAATTTCAAAAAACTAACGCCGGATTCTAAAAATTTAGGTAGTTTCACCCCAATATAGCCATTTTCATAAAAAGATTTCAACTCTCAATAACTTTTTGACGAGAATTTTTTATATCCCGGTCTGGTCGCTGAAGATTTTTGCGAAAGTTGACTTAAACTTTGCAGAATGAAATTTTTTCCAAAAACTGCTGTTACCATTTGATAGAACTGAGTTTTTTCTTGAAAACAAGCCACAAAAAAGCTTTATATCTCAAAAACGAAAGATTTTCAAGCGATTCTACGAAGGGCACCCAAATCTCAACAGCAAAAAAAAACTGCTGTAACGACCTTTAAACATCCTCATCAAAAGGTTGTTTAGATGGCAAGTTTTGTGTAAAAAAGTATATTAGGGGGTAAAAATATCTGAATTTTTATAATCCGGTGTTAGTTTTTCAAAAATCGCGTTTTTTCCAAGTCAAACTGCCCGTTTACAAAAAGTGTCAGAACTTTTGCCGCACCCTCTATTTCTATTAGTTATCTCAATTTCATATTAACAAAACAAAAATCATAAAAATTCGATTAATTGAAATTGAAAAATTCGACAAGAAGTTTAGTGATTCTTATTGGTGATTGTTATTATTCTTAATTTATTCTATTTATTCTTATAATCTTTACTCTTTTTTCTATTCTTTTATATATAAATCATTTAAAATCTCTTTGTTTATTTAAATTAAATGAAAATTGGATTGAAATTGAATGAAAATTGAATGAAAATTGATCAAAAACTGATCAAAAATTGATCAAAAAACTGATCAAAAACTGATGAAAACGAAGCTAAACCCAGAAGTTAAAAAAGATTTTTAAAAACGTTAGATTTGTCTTTGATTGCTTTGATAGCTTTGAGAGCTTTGATTGATTTGTTGCTTTGTTGCTTTGAGAGCTTTGTTGTTGCTTTGATTGCTTTGATTGCTTTGATAGCTTTGAGAGCTTTGATTGCTTTGTTGCTTTGTTGCTTTGAGAGCTTTGTGAGCTTTGTTGCTTTGTTGCTTTGAGAGCTTTGATAGCTTTGTTGCTTTGTTGCTTTGAGAGCTTTGATAGCTTTGATTGCTTTGATAGCCTTGATAGCTTTGATCGCTTTGATAGCTTTGTTGCTTTGAGAGCTTTGTTGCTTTGAGAGCTTTGATTGCTTTGATTGCTTTGATTGCTTTGATAGCTTTGATAGCTTTGTTGCTTTGATTGCTTTGATAGCTTTGATTGCTTTGATAGCTTTGATTGCTTTGATAGCTTTGATAGCTTTGATAGCTTTGATAGCTTTGTTGCTTTGAGAGCTTTGATTGCTTTGATAGCTTTGATTGCTTTGATAGCTTTGTTGCTTTGGCTTTGATTGCTTTGATTCCTTGATAGCTTTAAGAGCTTTAATAGCTTTGATTGCTTTGTTTTTCTTTCTTTTGATATTTTAAAAGCTATAGAGTAAGGATTATGGTAGTTATTTCGCATTTAATTGTCTGAACACCATTCATATTTCAAGCCAAAGTTAAACGGTGTTGATAACATGAATTAGGTTGCATCCCTATACGATAATCCCTACAATATCCCTGTTTTTCTCGTTGTATTTTCCTATTCAACTGGAGTTTTTCTCGTTTTACTGCAGTATTTTCCTACTCTACTCCAGTATTTTCCTTTTCTACTCCAGTATTTTCCTTCACCGTATCCCAGGACTTAAAACTTACGGTTTCCAATTATCCAATCGATAGTTTTCAACGGGTTTTGGCTATAGTCATGTTTTCTAACCAGTAAGATTAGAAAGTAAGGTTGCAAGCGCAAATCCGAACCAAAGCTGTATGGATTTCTCAGACAAGACTTTGAGCCCTTATAACTTTTGATAGAGTGCTCCATATCAAAAACCGAACGTAGATTTGAAATCAGCATGAAATTCTACATCAAATGATTTATAGATCCTGTCATTCAGCACATTTGATCACCAAATTTTCATTAGCTAAAGCTGAGGTTTCACTTTTCCAGATCTCCTTGGTTTTCTCGATTTTGCAAGCGCAAATCCGAACCAAAGCTGTATGATTTAAGCAAGTCGAACACGAGCAACACGATGGCGTTTTTAGTTTTTCTCTAAATACTCTAAATTTCTGTAAAAACATATTTGAAATCTGTCCGCCTAGTGCCCTGAGCGACCTTTGTAAAGGCTTTTTTCGCTGCCCAACCAAGTGACCCGGTGGCTCAGTGGTAGTGTCGTGGGCTGGCATTCTTCTCCTCCCTTGATGGCCGAGGGTTCGATCCCTCTTGGATCCAAATTTCTATTTTTATTCTGATTTTAATGTTTTAAGCAGTAAAGTTTTGTTTTGAAGAGGTTTTGAAGAGGTTTTGAAGAGGATTTTGAGTGTCTTTAGCTTCTTTTCCAAAGTACTCTCCAGAAAAAAACAGCCGTAAGGAGAGGAAATTATGTTGGATTTGTATGAACAACCGGTTTGATTTGAATCATCGATTCGACGTAAAGCTCTAGATAAATCGCTTCAGTTAATGTCCTTAAGAAAAGCTTTAAACTAAGCTTTAATCTAAGCTCTATTCTAAGTTCTAATCTAAGCTTTAAGCTAAGCTTTAAACTAAGCTTTAATGTGCTTTAATCTAAGCTTTAACCCAAGCTCCAATCTAAGCTTTAATCGAAGCTTTAATCTAAGCTCTAGTCTAAGCTCTAATCCAAGCTTTAATCTAAGCTCTAGTCTAAGCTCTATTCTAAGCTCTATTCTAAGCTCTATTCTAAGCTCTATTCTAAGCTCTATTCTAAGCTCTAATCTAAGCTCCAATCTAAGCTCTAATCCAAGCTCTATTCTAAGCTCTATTCTAAACTCTATCTAAACTCTATTCTAAGCTTTAATCTAAACCTATCACTCTAAATTATTAGAGAAAGCGGCTGTTATTCCACTTTTTCAAGTATGTGTGCCCGATTTTTGCTCGTCTCATGAAAAATTGGCTCAGAAGGGGGGGAAATTTGAGGAAAAAAAAGGGGGAGTGGGGGCTTCCGAAAGTGGCCAAAATTTTTGCGATGAAATCGATTTGCTCTCGTTTCGCGTTTTTCCGAGTGACGAAGTGTGGGGGAATAGAGGCGGGGAAGTGCGGAATTTGGGCCTTTTTTATGGGGAAATCGGGCACAAATGAAATGACAAATGAAATGCGATCACCGGATAGTTGGGGAAAAGAGAGGAATTGATATCTTATTGATTGATATCTTATTGATTGATCTTTTATTGGAAATCGTTGAACTATTGGAAACTATTTGGGGAGTTTTAAGGAATTGGAACGAATAAAAGATAAAAGTACTGTAATAAAACTAGGCTGTAAACTAGGCTGTAAACTAGGCTGTAAACTAGGTGTAAATTAGGTGTAAACTAGGTGTAAACTAGGCTGTAAACTAGACTGTAAACTAGACTGTAAACTAGGCTGTAAACTAGGCTGTAAACTAGGCTGTAAACTAGGTGTAAACTAGACTGTAAACTAGACTGTAAACTAGGCTGTGAACTAGGTGTAAATTAGACTGTAAACTAGACTGTAAACTAGGCTGTAAACTAGACTGTAAACTAGGCTGTAAACTAGGCTGTAAACTAGGCTGTAAACTAGGCTGTAAACTAGGCTGTAAACTAGGCTGTAAACTAGGCTGTAAACTAGGCTGTAAACTAGGCTGTAAACTAGGTGTAAACTAGGGTGTAAACTAGGGTGTAAACTAGGCTGTAAACTAGGCTGTAAACTAGGTGTAAACTAGGTGTAAACTAGGCTGTAAACTAGACTGTAAATTAGGCTGTAAACTAGGCTGTAAACTAGGCTGTAAACTAGGCTGTAAACTAGGCTGTAAACTAGACTGTAAACTAGGTTTGATCACCAAATTTGGCCACCACATTCCCTTGTCAGTTTAGCTTGTTAAAATTGAACCGGATTTAATCCCGGATCTGGATTTTTGAGCAAAACTAGGTCTAAACCTAGCTTGTCTTGTTGTATTTGTTGTTTGGATTGAATCAGGCTTGTTTCTGGCTTGATTTTGGTATGATTTTGGCTCTAGATTACCGTGATATCAGAACAGAAACAAGCCTTAAACTAGTCCACACCAAGTCTTCCAGCTTCCCATTCGGATAAGCTAGGCTCTGGCCTTGGACTAGCCTACTAATCGTTAGCAAATCTGTTCCTGATCTATCCTCCCCTTGGCTGGTAGATTGGGCTGAATCAGGCTTGTTCCTGGCTTGATTCTGGCTTTTTTCTGGCTTCTCTAGACTAGCTTCTCTAGATTTAATAGAACATTTAAACAATTAACATCTAAAAGCTTGTCTTCTTCATTTAAATTTCTTTCATAAAGCACAAAAATCATACGAAGTACACTCTCCTTTTTTTTTCCTTTCCACACTCTTTTCGATCAGTGGAAAACGATGGGGATTTTCCCCCCCGTCTTTCCTTTGCATTCTTTCCTTTTTCGTTTCGAATTCAATTTTGCCTTTCGTGCCTTTGATGCCCTTCTTTCTCTCACATCTCTATCCATCCTTTCTTCATGGAGTTCCCATCTTCCCATAAAAAGTCGAATGGGTGAGTAGGGGAAGGGGAAAGGATGAGTGGGTGAGGCTGGGCTGGTGAGAACTGAGGGGCTGACTCCAGGGGGAACGGCCTCTGCACCCAAGCTTAAACTGAATCAGGTCTAGAACTGAGTCTGAGACTAAGTCTGAGTCTAAGGTTGAGACTAAGTCTGAGACTAGGCCTAAGCTTGAGACTAGACCTAAGCTTGAGACTAAGCCTGAGACTAGCCTTAAGCTTGAGACTAAGCCTGAGTCAGACTTAAACCTAATTCTAGTAAGAAACTGTAGCACTGAGAGCTGGAGAAGGAGAAGGAGAAGGAGAAAGAGAAGGGGAGGGAGAAAGAGAAGGAGCAGGAGGAGAAGGAGAAGGAGAAGGAGCAGGAGAAGGAGCAGGAGAAGAACAAGGAGAAGGAGGAGGAGAAGGAGGAGGAGAAGGAGAAGGAGAAAGAGAAGGAGAAAGGGAAAGGGAAGGGGAAGGAGAAGGGAGAAGGAGAAGGAGAAGGAGAAGGAGAAGGAGAAGGAGAAGGAGAAGGAGAAGAAGGAGGAGAAGAAGGAGGAGAAGGAGGAGAAGGAGGAGAAGGACTGAAGTGATGCCTGTAGCATGCAAAAATTCCAACTCAAGCCTAATCCCACTATCGTTTTCTTTCACCTGAATTCTATCTAGCTTTAAAACTATTTGAAATATAGGACATGGGGATCCCTTGGCTCAGTACTGGGCTCAGCAATGGACTGAGGCACAGGCAGTTGTGCAAAATTCATATCGCCTCGCGCCTCTCCCTTTTCCTCTCTTTGTTACCCTCCACATTTCACACGTATCAACAAATAGAATGATGAAAAATAGCTTTTTTTCCTGTGTTTTCTATATGCTAGAATCGATTTTGGTTATGGGATTTAAGGGAAAGAATTGAATAAACAATTGAATAAACAATTGAATAAACAATTGAATAAACAATTGAAAAAACTTTTGAAAAAGGAAACCGAGAGCGGATTCGAACTCGACCCTCGGTCCAACCCCTCGCCTTGTATCCTAGCTCACTGCCACTCGACCACCACTGCTGCTGGGAGACCCCTCGGAAATCTGTTTATAACCTCTGACTCTTAAAATCTGATCTCTAATCCATACATTCATTTGAGCCCTTATAACTTTTGATAGAGTACTCCAAATCAAAAACCGAACGTAGATTTGGAATCAGCATGAAATTCTACGTTGGAAAGCCTATAGATCGTCTCATTTCACCACCTGGCCTGGCCTTCGATTAGCCTACTAATCGTTAGCAAATCTGTTCCTGATCTATCATGACATTGGCTGCTCGATTGGACTGAATCAGGCTTGTTCCTGGCTTGTTCCTGGCTTGTTCCTGGCTTGTTCCTGGCTTCACTTCTCTAAAATTTCACTTATCTTTTTAAAATGAAAAATTTCTCTCAACGAAATTCTTTCCCAAACCGGTTTCCCCAATCTCATCCAATTCGCAAAGTAATTGCTTATACGCTTTTTTTACGCTACGCTTTTTCTTTTCGCATTTCCCCGCCCAAAGTAACTGTGTTTTGAGGTCGATTTTGATTGAAATCTCGCTTGAGAAATTGAAACACAAAACTCTTGTTCTTTGGGGTTTTTTGTTGAAAACATTAAAACATTGAAACATTGAAAATCGATTTAAAAGCCTCTCTTGGACTGCTCTCATCTAAAGACAGTCTAAAGAAAGTCTAAAGAAAGTCTAAAGACAGTCAAAGACAGTTCAAAGACAGTTCAAAGACAGTCTAAAGACAGTCAAAGACAGTCTAAAGACAGTTTAAAGACAGTCTAAAGAAAGTCTAAAGACAGTTTAAAGGAAGTCTAAAGATACAGATCTAAATTCTAAAGTTTTCTCTGCGTTTCCCTTTTTGTCTTCTTGGGGTTTTTCAAGGGAGAGATGCAGTTTTCTTCCCCAAAACATGCAAAACACACAAAACTCGGTGAATTCCCTAGTGACTTGGGATCCTGGGGTGAGTAGGGGTGGGTAGGGGTCCAAGGGGTTTAAGGGGTTAGGGATCCAAGAAGCTAGAGATCTAGGAATCCAGGAATCTTGAGATCTAGGAATCTAAGGATCTAGGGATTCAGGTATCTAGGAATCCAGGAATCTAGGAATCTAAGGATCTAGGGATCTAGGAATCCAGGAATCTAGGAATCTAGGAATCCAGGGATCCAGGAATCTAGGGATCCAGGAATCTAGGAATCTAAGGATCTAGGGATCCAGGAATCTAGGAAGCCAGGAATCTAGGAATCTAGGAATCCAGGGATCCAGAAATCTAGGAATCCAGGAATCTAGGAATCTAAGGATCTAGGGATCCAGAAATCTAGGAAGCCAGGAATCCAGGAATCTAGGAATCCAGCGATCCAGAAATCCAGAAATCGAGAAATCTAGGAATCTAAAGATCCAGGGATTCAGAAATCTAGGGTTAAGTTGGGGCTAGGGGTAAGGGGCAGGAGATTCCTACAGGAGTGAGGGATAGTTGGGGGGTAGAATTAGGGATCTCTAGGGGTGGTCAGGGATGATTGGGGTTGAAAGCAGAGCTGTTTGCAAGCCTAAGCCTAAGGCAAGCCAAGCCCAACCCAGGCCAAAACCAAGTTCCAGGGAATACTTTTCTCGGGATAGTTGAGAGAGGCAGTTGATAGAGGGTCTAGGGTTGGCCTGGGCCTGTGGGGATAGGATCTACTCAAGGGGTACAGGGGTACAGGGGTACAAGAGTACAAGGATGAGCTGGGAGTGGGTAAAGGATGACGAGGGCAACCCTGAGCCTGTGGGGATAGGGTCGAAGGTCGATGGGGGTAGGCCAGAGTGGGGTGTTGGCGAGCAGGGGTCCAGGGGCCTGAACAAGTGACCAAAGTGGGCCTGGACGAGTGATGAAGATCCTCACACGTCATCACCCTTCACCCACTAATCCCTAGTTGTGTGTCTATCTCTCTTTTAGGCAGCGTCACCCAAATTTCGTATTTATAGGAATAGGGAAAAGATGTGAATGAGAAAATGTTGATAATGAATGGAATTTAAGCCTAAAACTTAATTTAAAGCTTTCCTAGATATCTAAATAAGAAGATCTATTAAAAATAAAGAAAAGTAGTTAAAGAAAGTCTAAGAGAAAGACTTAAGTCTGACTGGAAGGCTGGAAAGGCTCTAAAGGTTGGAAAGAGAAGCCTAGAAAGGCTCTAAAGGTTGGAAAGCTTGTTAGAAGCCTTGTTCTGACTCTGATTGTTAATCGGATTAATATCCAAGTTTCATTAGAGTTCCATTAGAGTTCCATTAGAGTTCTAGAAGCTTAGAAAGAGTCCAAACCAATAAAATCTTCGATATAGCGAAATCAGAAATATCAAAAATCAGAAATATCTCTTAAGATCTCAAGAATTTCCAGAATCCTCACAGCTCTCGATGGAGCAGCGAGTTGTGGAGCGGCGCTGACCGACGTCGAGCCACTGCTTGTCAATCCAATCACTGAACAACATCCAAGGTCTAGAAATGATCGAAATCTAGATTGCAATAGCTTTTGCAATAGATAGAGCTTTTGCAATTGATAGTTCTGCAAATTGAGTTCTTCTATTTCTATCAATTCCACCTTCAGATTAGTCCCATTGGCCTCATTTTTTGCTCAACATCCACATCACAATTTCGACGGTCACCTAGAAGCAAATGCCTCGCGAACGAAAGAGAACCCGTTACCGAATGTAAGTATTGTTAAAGAATCGATATTATATTCTATGCTATTGAATTCTATTGGTATTCTATTCAATCGTTCTTATTCTATTCAAATCGATAATTATCTAGATCTAGAATTGATAATTATCTATTTCAATAGAATAAAATAACTTTAAGATGTTTAAGACGACTTTAAGACGACTTTAAGACAACTTTAAGATGCTTAAGACAACTTTAAGATGTTTAAGACGACTTTAAGACAACTTTAAGATGTTTAAGACGACTTTAAGACACCTTTAAGATGTTTAAGACGACTTTAAGACGACTTTAAGACAACTTTAAGATGTTTAAGACAACTTGCAGATAACTTTCACTGAGAAAACACCGGTCTATGCTCTCCAGTATCAGTGTGACGGTTTACAACATCGATGGATACCAACAATCGTTTTTCAGGTCCTCATTTTGATTAGATCTACATAATAAGAGCTTTATCGATATCGAATAAGAGCTAAATCGATTTACATTTAATCTAGATCTAGATTTGGATCTAGATTGCGTTCTAGTTCTAGATTTGGATCTAGATTGCGTTCTAGATCTAGATTGGGATCTAGATTGCGGTCTAGATCTAGATTGGGATCTAGATTGGGATCTAGATTGCGTTCTAGATCTAGATTGGGATCTAGATTGCGTTCTGGATCTAGATTTGGACCTAGGTTGGGTTCTGGATCTAGATTTCGATCTAGATTGCGTTCTAGATCTAGATTTGGATCTAGGTTGGGATCTAGAATTGCGTTCTAGATCTAGATTGGGATCTAGATTGTGTTCTAGATCTAGATTGGGATCTAGATTGCGTTCTGGATCTAGATTGGGATCTAGATTTGGATCTAGATTGCGTTCTAGATCTAGATTGGGATCTAGAATTGCGTTCTAGATCTAGATTGGGATCTAGATTGTGGTCTAGATCTAGATTGGGATCTAGATTGGGATCTAGATTGCGTTCTAGATCTAGATTTGGATCTAGGTTGGGATCTAGATTGCGTTCTAGATCTAGATTTGGATCTAGATTGGGATCTAGATTGGGTTCTTGATCTAGATTTGGATCTAGATTGCGTTCTAGATCTAGATTGGGATCTAGATTAGGGTTCTAGATCTAGTTTTGGATCTAGATTGGGTTCTGGATCTAGATTTGGATCTAGATTGCGTTCTAGATTGAGATCTAGCTTTCTATTTAATTGCTTTTCATCATTTTTCACTCTAAAGAAACGAGTGGATCAGTTTTTATTCAAAAATTAAGAAGATCTCATCAATTTTAAGCAAAAGAAAAGGAAATCAAGAGAAAGAAAAGGAAAGTAAGAGAAAGAAAAGAAGAATTGAAAGAATTCAGTGCTCTAGAAAGGAAAAGCTGACAGATTTCTACACAAATTCTACCAGAAATAGACTAAATTATGGAAATTTTCGATATTGGAACCATATTGGAACCATATTGGAACCATTGGAGCCATTGGAGCCATATTGGAACCATATTGGAACCAAATTGGAACCAAATTCAAGCTTTTCACTCATTTTTTTCAATTTTGATCAATCTTTATCGATTTTATTCACGAAATTTCGTTAAAATCTCTGCTTTTTCAATAGAATCGAGTCCTTTTGTAAGAATTCTTTTTTCAGATGCGACCAGAGAGCACTTCGACTAGCACTTCTGGCGGATATTTAGTCGTACGACTCGAACCTTTCGATCTAAATCTATGCAATGATGTGTCTGTGACTGAATGCAATACAAAGGTTAGTGGAAATATGTTTATTTGATTATTTGATTGTTTAATTGATTGTTTATTTGATTGTTTATGGTTTTATGATTGAAAAATCAATCTTTCTCTTCTTTTCTCCCATCTTTTTCAATAGTTTAATTGTTGATTTTGAAGTTTTTCTTTAAAAGCTTTAAACTTTCTTTTTCTTTAGATGCTTTAAACTTTTCTTTTCTTTAAAAGCTTTAAACTTTCCTTTGGATATCTAGACTTAAGAGTCTAGATATCCAAAAGATTTCTAGACTCTTAAGAAAGAAATTGAAGACATTAATGGAAAGAAAGAAAGGATGGATGGAAGGATGGAAGGAAGAAAGAAGGGAAGAAAGAAGGAAGGATGGAAGGAAGAAAGGAAGAAAATGAAGAGAAAGAAAGAAAAAAGGAAAGAAAGAAGGAAGAAAGAAAGAAAGAACGAAAGAAAGAAAGAAAGAAAATCGAAAGAAAAGTGCCCGATTTGAGAGGAAATGGGGGAAAAGTGTGGGAATCGGTGCTACTTATCTGAGAAGAAAGGAAAGGAAAGAAAGGAAAGGAAAGAAATGAAAGGAAAGAATGGGGAATAAACGATTTGATTGGGTTTAGAATTATTGAAAAGTAAAGGGACCAAGTTATCTCATTGAAGAATATCTTGAACTAGTTGGAGTTTAAGAATTGAAAGACTTTCTGAAAGAGAACAGAATTTGAATCACTGAGTTTCTTCCCTGAATTGGCTTAGATTTCTGGATTGAATTATCCAATCAGGCTCTATTTAGTATCATTTAAAAGCCTGAAATGTTCTCTATACAATGGTATAAAAAGTTAAGAATAATATTATTTCTAAGTAAAGTTATGGGCCTTCAAAGGCCTTGTAGTGGAAATGCCCGAATTGAACTTTCGAATAGAGCTTGATTGACTTAAATAGAACTTGATGCAATCTTTCATTCCCATAACTTTCTAATGAGAATCTTAGGCTTTCAAATAATCCAAAAGATAGCTTAATCGAATAATTCATTCCATGAAAATCAGCCGGCAGAGATCTCGAGAGAGAGAGATCAGCCTTGTCTCTGAATTGGCTTTGATTTCTGGATTGGATAATCCAATCAGGCTCTATTTAGTATCATTTAAAAGCCTGAAATGTTCTCTATACAATGATATAAATAGTTAAGAATAATATAATTTCTATGCAAAGTTATGAGTCTTCAAAGGCCTTGTAGTGAAAATGCCCGAATTGAACTTTCGAATAGAGCTTGATTGATTTAAATAGAGCTTGATGCAATCTTTCATTCTCTTTCTAAGAACTTAACTTTCTAATGAGAATCTTAGGCTTTCAAATAATGCAAAAGAGAGCTTAATCGAATAATTCATTCCATGAAAATCAGCTGGCACAACTCTCTCGAGAGATCAGCCTTGTCTTCCCTAAATTGGCTTTGATTTCTAGATTGGATAATCCAATCAGGCTCTATTTAGTATCATTTAAAAGCCTGGAATGTTCTCTATCCAAAGATCTTAAAAGTTAAGAATAATATAATTTCTATGCAAAGTTATGAGTCTTCAAAGCTTGGCTGAATACCCAGATTTTGAAAATCATTGTTGAATAAGTGGCGAAGCTTTAAAGGTTATAACTTTTCCCAAAGCTGATATTATTGTAAACTCTTTATACCATTGGATAGAAAACATTTGAGGCTTTTAAATGATAATAAATAGAGCTTGATTGAATAATCCATTCCATGAAAATCAGCCGACAAAGCGCTAAAGTTGGATCAGCCTTCACTTCCCTAAATTGGCTTTGATTTCTGGATTGGATAATCCAATCAGGCTCTATTTAGTATCATTTAAAAGCCTGAAATGTTCTCTATACAATGATATAAAGGGCTAAGAATAATATAATTTCTAGGCAAAGTTATGGACCTTCAAAGTTTGGCCATGTGAAAATGCCCGGATTTTGAAAAACATTGTTGAAAATCATTGTCAAACATTGTGAATCATTGAAAATGCTTGGATAATAGGACAATTTTAATGGTAATTCAGGATATAAATGATTAGAAAATCATTGGGAAAGGTAGCATTCAAAGTATCGACTTATTGAGTTTGCCAGAAAGAGGCGTTTCTGAGTTTGCCATTTCTGAGCAAGCAAAGCGATCTGCTATTCCTCTTCCTCTCCTCTTCCTCTCCTCTTCCTCTTCCTCTTCCTCTTCCTCTTCCTCTTCCTCTTCCACTTCCTCTTCCTCTTCCTCTTCCTTTTCTCAATCTCTTTCCTTTCTAATCCCTTCTTCACTTACGATTTTTGATGACAATTTGATGACAACGATTTTTTACAACTTTTTACCCAGTGAAGCCTTCTTAATCGGATTTCTTTTTGAAAGAAAAGCCCGGAACTGAGTTCTCCCTTCAACAACTTTTCAAAAAAAAACGAAAAGGATATGACGAAGCGGTTTTTTAACCGTCAAAAAACAAATTTTTAGCCTCTTTCTAGGGATTTGAGAAATAAATAGCAAAATTTTGAGTGTACAATCGCGTACTAAACTTCAAATTAATACAATTGTAAATTTAAATAAGGATTTTGTTAAAGATTAGCTTAAAAAACTTAAAAAAGGCTTAAAAACGATTTTAACAAAAAGCACATTTTTTGAGATTTGCACCAACTTTCAGCCCGATTTTAGATAGGTTTTTGTTAATAACTTTTGATAAAACAAATAGTTCCTAAAAGCTGACGTTCTAAGCTATTTAAATCAACTTCTAACTTTCTGATCAGATAAGTTTAAGTTGCTTAAAATCGAGCTGAAAGTTGGCCAAAACAAGGAAGGCGAGTTTTTGACCATTTTCCATCTCGATTTTAGATAGGTTTTTGTTAATAACATTTAATAAAACAAATAATTTCTGAAAGCTGACGTTCTAAGCTATTTAAATACTCTTGAAACTTCTGGATCCGACAAGTTTAAGGTGCTTAAAAATGAGCTGAAAGTTTTCCAAAACGAGGAAGGCGAGTTTTTAGCCAACTTTCAGCCCGATTTTAGATAGGTTTTTCTTAATAACTTTTGATAAAACAAATAGTTTCTAAAAGCTGACATTCTACGCTATTTAGATCTTATTAAACCATCCTGATTCAACAAGCTTAAGGTGCTTAAAATTGAGTTGAAAAATTGACCAAAAATCGATCACCTCCCGATAATCGCTCGACGCCCTGGATAACTCTAAAGATCCAAAAATGCACTCAAATACTCTATAAGAGTACTGTAGATGAGCTATAGTATTAAAAAAACTGTAGTAAGTAAAAAAAATAGAGATACTGTAGTACTGAAGGGCACTGTATCACAGGGATGTTGTGTACTGTAGTACTGTAGTACTAAAGGATACTGTAGAGATATTTCAGGACTAAAAAAGTATTGCAGTATTAAAGAAGTACTGTAGTACTGATGGGATACTGTAGAGGGAATACTGTAGAGTACAAAGGGATACTATAGAGGCAATAATGGAGTACTGAATGGGTACTAAAGAGATGGGGAGACGGTAAGGCCAAAAGAGTACTGTAGGGGTACTGTAGGAACACTAGGACTACTGTAGGGGTACTGTAGGGACACTAGGACTATTGTAGGGACACTAGGACTACTGTAAGGTACTGTAGGGACACTAGGACTACTGTAGGGGTACTGTAGGGACACTAGGACTACTGTAGGGGTACTGTAGGGATACTAGGACTACTGTAGGGACACTAGGACTGCTGTAGGGATACTGTAGGGACACTAGGACTATTGTAGGGACACTAGGACTACTGTAGGGTACTGTAGGGACACTAGGACTACTGTAGGGGTACTGTAGGGACACTAGGACTACTGTAGGGGTACTGTAGGGACACTAGGACTACTGTAGGGACGCTAGGACTACTGTAGGGTACTGTAGGGTACTGTAGGGACACTAGGACTACTGTAGGGGTACTGTAGGGTACTGTAGGGACCCCAGGACTACTGTAGGGGTACTGTAGGAACACCAGGACTACTGTAGGGGTACTGTAAGGCCAAAAGAGTACTGTAGAGGCACTGTAAGGCCAAAAGAGTACTGTAGGGGTACTGTAGGGACACTAGGACTACTCTAGTATCGAATAAAATACTTGTTTCTAATACTAATGACCTCTAGAATCCCAAGAGAAATCAGTGCACTAGAAAGGATGCGTTTGCAAACTCAAAATCATCAAAAAGACGATTTTCTTTGTGCTCGTTGTGCTCAAACGGAAACGCACACTTCTGGTGCACCAAAATCCTCGAAAAACTTGTTAACTAGCTTGAAAAACTAGCTCAGATTCAACTCAAAAATCAACAAATCCCGTTTTGTCTCAAATCTTCAATCTCAAATTCTATTTTTGCGTCAAATCCGACACTTTTCTTTTCTTTTCTTTCCTCCCTTTTTTCCTTTTCGGTGATTTTAGTTGACTGAAAGAAATCAAATCTCATCTCTCCTTCTTCAAGGGGGAATTTTGAGAAAAGACGAAAAGAAGAAGGGCAGAAGAAGGGCAAAATTGCTCACCCAGTCTCTCCACAAAATAATCGACATGAGAGGGGAAAAAACGAGAAGAATTGGCAGATGATGAGAAGTCATTTTCATTTTTAGCGCTTTCTAAGACGAAGATTTTTTCCTTAAGGAAGCTTTAAGGGCCTTAAGGAAGCTTTAAGGGCCTTAAGGAAGCTTTAAGGGCCTTAAGGAAGCTTTAAAGGTCTTAAGGAAGTTGACCTGGCTTTATCTAGCCTGTAAAAAAGCGAGTTTCTTTCATCGATCCATCCAAGACCAAAGCTAAACTTGAGCCAGGTGCCTTTCTACCATTCTCCACCCATCAATGACCCTCTTCTTTCCCTCTTCCTCCACTCTTCCTCTTCTCTTCCTCTTCCCCTTCTCTTCCTCTTCCCTTCCCCCTCCTCTTCTTCCTCTTCCTTTTCTCTTCCTCTTCTCTTCTCTTCTCTTCTTTTCCTCTTCCCCTTCTCTTCCCCTTCTCTTCCTCTTCTCTTCCTCTTCCTCTTCTCTTCCTCTTCCCCTTCTCTTCCCCTTCTCTTCCCTTCCTCTTCCCCTTCTCTCCCTCTTCTCTTCCATCACCTCAATGTCACTCTTTTCCTCCTCATTCCTCCATTTTCTGCTTGAAAATGATCCAAATGTGACAAGTTGTGGGGACGCTTTTTCTTCTTTCATTTCTTTTCTCAAATATCCCAAATATCTCTAAAAACTAGGGAAAATGTTTTAAAAGTTAATAAGATAAAAATAAAATGATTCTAGATGATTCTAGATGATTCTAGATGATTCTAGATTGTAGAATGAGTTTAGGAATGCATCAAATAAGCATCAAATAAGCATCAAGTAAGCTAGAATCGGTAAAGAAGCTAGTTAAGGTCAAGAATGACTCAAGAATGGCTTAAGCTGAGGTTTTTTGCTAATTTGATGAGAAAAGGATTCCTGTACTTTGCTTGTGCAAAGGATTCTTGTGAAGCTGATAAATTTCGATAAATTTCACCAAATATTCGTCAATTTTACGGCAAATTTTGCTAAAAAAAAAACTTCCTTTGTTGGAAATTTTAAAAGGGTTAAGAGAAAAATTAAAAAGAAGACCTTATAGAGAATAAAGGAGGGTTACTCCATTTTTTTAATTTTTTTTTTTTTTTTTTTTTTTGGGTTAAAAAAAAAAATTTTTTTTTTTTTTTAAGAGGGAGGGGGGCCCCCCCCACCCCAACCCCCCACCCCCCCCCCCCCCCCCCCCCCCCCCCCACCCGCCCCGGCCCGCGGTCCCGGGCCCGGGCCCGGGCCCGGGACGGCCCCCCCGCCCCCGGGCCCCAGCCCCGGCCCGGGCCCGGGCGCGGGACGGGCAAGGGCGGGCCCGGGGCGGGGGGGGGGGGGGGGGGGGGGGGGGGGGGGGGGGGGGGGGGGCCCCCCCAAGCCAAAAAGACTTGCTGAAAGATCAGCTTGGCTTCTTGTTCACAGATTTAACCTTAATCTAGATCTAAATCAATCTAGATCTAGATCTAAATCAATCTAGATCTAGATCTAAATCAATCTAGATCTAGATAATCTTTCATTTCATAGCTTTCAAGTACTCAAAAGTTTCTCTTAAACTTTAAAAAGATTCAATTACCTCTAGTTTACACTAGAATAATTTGCCTACAAAAAGAAACGATAACGAAAAAACTTGCCTAAAATCTTTGCAAACACACCATTTCTAATGCACTAAAGCTTTCTTTTTTCTTTTCCTACTTTTCTTTTACATTTCCTTAGTAATTCGAGCTTTTTAGTGCTCATGGACGGTTCAAGGAGGTGTTCGTGTTTTGGCCAAAGCCTGCTGCGATGCTGTTCATCAAAAGAACACTTGTCGAGAGGTTAGTTGGGATTTTATTTGAATATCTATATGCCGTAGCCGATTATGAGTCTAGGAGGCTTCCAAGTGAGTCTAGGAGGCTTCCAGTGAGTCTAGGAGCCTCCCAGTGAGTCTAGGAGCCTCCAAGTGAGTCTAGGAGCCTCCAAGTGAGTCTAGGAGCCTCCAAGTGAGCCTAGGAGCGTCCAAGTGAGTCTAGGAGCGTCCAAGTGAGTCTAGGAGCGTCCAAGTGAGTCTAGGAGCTTCCAAGTGAGTCTAGGAGCCTTCCAGTGAGTCTAGGAGGCATCCAAGTGAGTCTAGGAGGCTTCCAGTGAGTCTAGGAGCCTCCAAGTGAGTCTAGGAGCGTCCAAGTGAGTCTAGGAGGCTTCCAGTGAGTCTAGGAGGCTTCCAGTGAGTCTAGGAGCGTCCAAGTGAGTCTAGGAGCCTTCCAGTGAGTCTCGGAGCCTTCCAGTGAGTCTAGGAGCCTTCCAGTGAGTCTAGGAGCGTCCAAGTGAGTCTAGGAGCGTCCAAGTGAGTCTAGGAGCGTCCAAGTGAGTCTAGGAGCGTCCAAGTGAGTCTAGGAGCGTCCAAGTGAGTCTAGGAGCGTCCAAGTGAGTCTAGGAGCGTCCAAGTGAGTCTAGGAGCGTCCAAGTGAGTCTAGGAGCGTCTAAGTGAGTCTAGGAGCGTCCAACCATCAAGTATTTGGTATCATTCAACGCAGAATCATTAATAATTATGCTAAATTTTTTAAATTAGAAAGATTGGATGAAAAGAAAAAAAATTATGGAGCTTCAAAGTTTTCTCTTGAACAAACAGTTTTTTTGCTCTAATTTTTTTTCTTTTCATCCAATCTTTCTAATTTCAAAAAATTAACATAATTATTAATGATTCTGCGTTGAATGATACCAAATACTTGATGGTTGGACGCTCCTAGACTTGATGGTTTTGATGGTTGGACGCTCCACTCATTCATAATCGGCTGAAATTCATAATCGGTTACGACATATATAAATATCGATTCTTTATCGTCGACATGCTTCAATTTTCACAGAATTTTCAGGACAGCGAGCGCGGGCGTAGCATGCTGTTGCTGTTCAACGCTGGCTGTGCCTTAGCCTGCATTCTGCTCATTCCAGGTTTCTAATTTGGCTAAATATGAAGGGGAAATGGTGTAAACGATTGTAGATTTTGTAGATTTTATAGATTTTTATAGTTTTGATAGATTTATATTGTAAATAATGAGAAAATAACTTTAAAATATCTCCAAAATTGTTGAAAAAGTGATTTTTTTAAACTAGAGAACTTTTTGAAATAAAATAACAGTAGCGATCTGATTCTGAAGTGCAAAAATCTTCTAGTTCTCGGCTTCCCAAAACTGTTTAAAAATCCTTTTTCTCATTAGCCGTTTTTGGAGATATAAGCCTTCAAAGTTTGGAGGAATTTTGGGAAAGAGCGAGATGGGGTAGTTAACGGGTTTTTGGGGGGAGACCGATATGCCTCTATGGCCGAGTGGTTAGTGTGCTGGTTTCGAAAGCGGTTGGGACGGGCTTTCCTCCTGGTTCGGATCCTTTCTCAACCGAACTTTTCCTTTTTTTAGAAAAACACTTAGAAATTACTTTCAAATTGAATTAAACAACGAAAATGCTCATAAATCAGTAATTGTTAGTAAGCAGTAATGCAGTAAGCAGTAATGCAGTAAGCAGTAATGCAGTAAGCAGTAATGCAGTAAGCAGTAATATAAGTAGGCAGTAATGCTAGATTGTTGTAAAAAAGGCCTGAATCGAACGAGCTGGTAAATTCTGGTCAATTCTAGCCAGAATTGTATTGTAGGATTGGATTGGAGTGGTTGAACTTGTTTTCTTGAACTAGCAGGCTTAAACACTATCAATTTCAGTGGTGATGCACGCACGTCGAACGCAACACGAGGGACGGGGATGGGCACTGATGGAGTTGTTTCTGCTTGGCGCCTCTGTGCTCTACTCGATTGTAAGTATCAGAGATGAGTGCTTGAGCTGAGTGCTTGAGCTGAGTGCTTGAGCTAACTAGGCATTTGCTAAGAGCTTTGTTGACTTTTTGTAAGAGCAAGGCCAAGAACAGGCCACATTTTGTGAAGCAAGTCAAGTCAGGAAGGGTTAGACCTCTAACCTGGCCTCTAATCTGGCCTCTAACCTGACTTGACCAAGAACAAAAGCCAAAAGCCAAAAGCCAAAAGCCAACAGACAAAGTCTATCAAGAATCATCAATTTTCAAAGAATTCATCAGAAAATCCATCAGTTTATCCATCAGTTCATCCAATTCCAGTTGCTTTTGGACTGGCTAGCGCCAGCGGCTGCTGGTTGCTGTGCGGCGGTTTGGCTCCGACAGATCGGTTTCTCCATCTTCTATGGATCGATTGTGCTCAAAATTTATAGGTTTCTTTGTGTTCTATAGCTAAATCTAAAGCTAAATCTATATCTAAATCTATATCTAAACTTCTACAACTCAAAAACCCTCAGGAATCTACAAGAGTACCGCGTTCGGAAAGCTCAACACGTTTCCGTCCGGGAGCAGGACATGCTCAAGTATTTGTCGGCTCTCCTCGCGCTCACGATCACTGGTCGGTTTGGATACGCTTGAAAATGTTATAAATCAACCTATGATAGCAAATTCAGCCTTATAAAGCTCTATAAGGCCCTATAGAGGCTTGTAGAAGCTTGTAGAAGCTTGTAGAAGCTTGTAGAAGCTTGTAGAAGCTTGTAGAAGCTTGTAGAAGCTCTATTGTATGATAAATCTATTGTTCCAATACAATACAGTACTTAACCCATTTCCAGGACTGATCGCGTGGACAGTCGGCTCTTGGGGTGACGCGGAGTTGTGGAGAACCGCTTGGCCACAATGTACTATACAAGTAAGCTTTAAAGTATCAAATCTAATAAGTGAACACCTCTGATCAGCCTCTGATGGAAGATTCAAAGGATCAGAGCCTAAGCCTACGCCTGAGCCTAAGCCCGAGCCTCAGTCTGAGCCTAAGCCTAAGCCTGAGTCTGAGCCTGAGTCTGAGCCTAAGCCTGGGCAAGAGGAAGACCAAGAGGAAGAGCAAGAGGAAGAGCAAGAGTAAGACCAAGAGGAAGAGAAAGAGCAAAAGCCAGAGCAAGAGCCAGAGCAAGCACTCCAGTATCCCGGCTCAGCACATGGATTGAGCCTTCTAAACTGTTCCGAGCCTGAGTCCTAAATCAATTTCCAGAGCTGGTCCCTCATCTGGCATTGCTACGAACTGTTGTTCCTTTTCTATGGAATGCGGCTTTGCTTTAAGGCGAGGAATAGTGATTGGCTAGAGAGATGGCAATTCACAGTAGCCGTTTGCCTCGAAGCTGTCGCCACACTGATGGCCAATTTGATCAGGTGAGCTTTATCACTGGGAGACTTTGAGACTTGGAGCTTTGAGACTTGGAGAGTTGAAGACTTGGAGACTTTGAGACTTGGAGATCACTTTGAGATCCTTTAAAACTTCCTTAAGACCCTTCAAGGTTCCTTAAGGCCCTTAAAGCTTCCTTAAGGCCCTTCAAGGTTCCTTAAGGCCCTTAAAGCTTCCTTAAGACCCTTAAAGCTTCCTTAAGACCCTTAAAGCTTCCTTAAGACCCTTAAAGCTTCCTTAAGACCCTTAAAGCTTCCTTAAGACCCTTAAAGCTTCCTTAAGACCCTTAAAGCTTCCTTAAGACCCTTAAAGCTTCCTTAAGACCCTTAAAGCTTCCTTAAGACCCTTAAAGCTTCCTTAAGACCCTTAAAGCTTCCTTAAGACCCTTAAAGCTTCCTTAAGACCCTTAAAGCTTCCTTAAGACCCTTAAAGCTTCCTTAAGACCCTTAAAGCTTCCTTAAGACCCTTAAAGCTTCCTTAAGACCCTTAAAGCTTCCTTAAGACCCTTCAAGGTTCCTTAAGGCCTTTAAAGCTTCCTTAAGGCCTTTAAAGCTTCCTTAAGACCCCTAAAGCTTCCTTAAGACCCTTAAAGCTTCCTTAAGACCCTTCAAGGTTCCTTAAGGCCTTTAAAGCTTCCTTAAGACCCCTAAAGCTTCCTTAAGACCCTTAAAGCTTCCTTAAGACCCTTCAAGGTTCCTTAAGGCCTTTAAAGCTTCCTTAAGACCCCTAAAGCTTCCTTAAGACCCTTAAAGCTTCCTTAAGACCCTTAAAGCTTCCTTAAGACCCTTAAAGCTTCCTTAAGACCCTTCAAGGTTCCTTAAGGCCTTTAAAGCTTCCTTAAGACCCTAAAGCTTCCTTAAGACCCTTAAAGCTTCCTTAAGACCCTTCAAGGTTCCTTAAGGCCCTTCAAGGTTCCTTAAGGCCTTTAAAGCTTCCTTAAGGCCTCTAAAGCTTCCTTAAGGCCTTTAATGCTTCCTTAAGGCCCTTAAAGCTTCCTTAAGACCCTTAAAGCTTCCTTAGGACCCTTCAAGGTTCCTTAAGGCCTTTAAAGCTTCCTTAAGGCCCTTAAAGCTTCCTTAAGACCCTTCAAGGTTCCTTAAGGTCCTTAAAAGCTAGGAATCATCTCAAGAATCATTTATCTCAAGAACCTTTTCTAGATACTCAGTGCGAAACTCAGCTCACAGCGATACCCTCTTCACAATCACTTTTGTGCAGCTACAACTAACTGTTTCGGTCAATATTGTCATCATTATTGCGCCAAAATTTTATCTGGTAAGTTTTCTTTGGAATTTTGGATGATTTTTGATGATTTTTGAAGATTTTAGATGATTTTTGATGATTTTTGATGATTTTTCATAATAATTAATCAATTTTTATCGTTTTTTAAATATTTAGGTATCCGGTGAATCAACGCGACGATCTCTTGCCGTCGGTCAAAGCGCTCGTGCTCATCCATCGCTCGCCAAACTTCGTGACAACATCCTCAATGGGACAATCGACTTCGCTGAGGTGCCAATTGTGGATATGAATCCGGAGGATATTCGGGTGACTTTGAAATTAGCTTTTCTTTAATGATGACAAATGTTCAGGCGGAGTTGAAACGGGTTTACACACAGCTGCGCATGTATAAACTCAAAAATCTCTACCAAGACAATCCGCACATCAGCAAAAAGAGAGGTGGCAAGAAATGGAGGTGAGGATGGGCAAGGATTTAAAGCTCAAGAAGTGGCAGTGAAGGCAGTGAAGGGAATTGAAGCCAGCTGAGCTAGCCAACTGATTCTAGCCAACTGCTTCTAGCTAGCTGATTCTAGCTAGCTGATTCTAGCTAGATTCTAGCTAGATTCTAGCCAGCTGATTCTAGCCAGCCAGCCAGCAACTTTCCTTATCTCTGAACTCAAACTCTTCTTTCAGTGACAAATCTACAGCCAAAGCCGCAGTACGACGAATGTCGATAGGTGGAGCGAGTGGGCCAACTGTGGGAGGAGTAGTGACAGCTGGATCGGGTTTGTATCATTTCTGCAGTATCAATCTCTAGTCTGGGCCAGGCAAAGCCAAGTCTGGCCTAGTCCTAACTAAACTTGCGTTGCCTAAAGTACCAATAGTACTGTAGCTAGCTTGGTCAGACTTTTAGGTACTATGGCTCTCCATAGTCAGGTCCTATAGCCCTCTATAGTCAGGTCCTATGGCCCTCCATAGTCAGCTCCTATGGCCCTCTATAGTCAGGGCCTATGGCCCTCCATAGTCAGGTCCTATGGCCCTCTATAGTCAGGGCCTATGGCCCTCCATAGGCAGGGCCTATGGTTCTCCATAGTCAGGTCCTATGGCCCTCTATAGTCAGGTCCTATGGCCCTCTATAGTCAGGGACTATGGCTCTCCATAGGCAGGTCCTATGGCCCTCTATAGTCAGCTCCTATGGCCCTCTATAGTCAGGGACTATGGCCCTCTATAGTCAGGGACTATGGCTCTCCATAAGCAGGGACTATGGTTCTTCATAGTCAGGTCCTATGGCTCTCCATAAGCAGGGACTATGGTTCTTCATAGTCAGGTCCTATGGCCCTCTATAGGCAGGTCCTATGGTCCTCTATAGGCAGGTCCTATGTCTCTCCATAGTCAGGTCCTATGGCTCTTCATAGGCTTCATAAAATGACATATGAACTTATAGAATAATCTCAGTCTTGACTGGCTCACAAAGTGCTTGAGTCTAAACCTGAACTTGAGGAAATAAGCCTACTTGAACTATCCTGGACAAGTAGAAGATAATGACAAAATGGCTGAATCAGTCAGACTTATCAGCCAGACTTACCAGCCAGATCCAATAATCGATCAAATCATCCTTGACAAGTAGCAGACAATGACAAACTAGACCAGCCTGACTTACCATAGTCGAATCATCGCTACGCAAGATTCAACAATCAATTTCTAGGCGGTGGCACGAGTCCAGCACGTTCGCGAATCGAAGAAGACGAGAAAAGTGATTTAACTGTGGAGAGTGCGCCGCATAATGTCTATTTGAATAAACTCAATCTCGAGTCGAATTGCTCTGTAAGGGTCTAGCAATGATCCTTTTAGTTGAAAAGGGGATTCAATGAACCTGGGACTTGGAAATGAAGCTCTAATTTAAAGCAATAGACTTGGCTCGGCCTTACTGAAGTGGACAGTGAGTTAGAGCTGACTTAGAGTAAGCCAGCTTTACAGTAGCCACGTTCTACAGTAGCCAAGCTTTACAGTAGCCTACAGTAGCCAGCTCTACAGTAAACCAGCTCTACAGTAGCCTTATGTAGCCAAGCTCTACAGTAAGCCAGCTCTACAGTCACAGTAAGACTTCCTGCAACTGTAGTTTCAAGTTTCAATCAACCAAACCCTTCATTGAATATTCTTTATCTAGATTTTAGTCACTTTCCTGTTGATTTCCCTTCATTCATTAGCTTTTATGGGTTTTTTTAAAGCTAAAATTGGATTACTTTTCGGACTTTTCGGAGTTTTCGGTCTTTGTTCGGTCCTTTGATCCCTTTTTCAGCTTTTCACATATTGAAGCTTTTACAGTAAGCCAGCTCTACAGTATGCCAAGCTCTACAGTAAGCCAGCTTTACAGTAAGCCAAGCTCTACAGTAAGCCAAGCTCCACAGTAAGTCAGCTTTACAGTAAGCTCTACAGTAAGCCAGCTCTACAGTAGCCAAGCTTTACAGTAGCCAAGCTCTACAGTAAGCCAGCTTTACAGTAAGCTCTACAGTAAGTCAGCTCTACAGTAAGCTCTACAGTAAGCTAGCTCTACAGTAAGCTCTACAGTAAGCCAGCTTTACAGTAAGCTCTACAGTAAGCCAAGCTTTTCACATGGTTGGCTAGGTAAACGATTCTTTTCTGGTTCTCTTTTATATCTTCTGGGAAACTATTTACATTTGTCCAAATGTTTTCGATGGTCATTGTGATGAACGGGTTTTCTTTTGTTTCAAATGTTCGTTTTTTTCTTCAAATCTTTTGTTTTTTGTTTGATTTTGAATAAGCATGGGAACTGGATTGGCTGAGATTTTCGAATTTGAGTTTAGGAACTAATAGGAATTATAAGGGAACTATAAAGGAACTATGAAGGAAACCTTTAAGGGACCAAATAGGAACTATAAAGGAATTTTAAAGGAACTATAAGGGAACTATAAAGGAACTATAAAGGAACTTTAGAGGAGCCTTAAAGGAGCCTTAAAGGAGCTTTAAGGGAACTATAAGGGAACTATAAGGGAACTATAAAGGAACTATAAACGAACTTTAAAGGAACTATAAAGGAACTATGAAGGAAACCTTTAAGGGAGCAAATAGGAACTATGAAGAAACTATAAAGCAACTATAAAGGAGCCTTAAAGGAACTATGAAGGAACTATAAAGGAGCTTTAAAGGAGCTTTAAAGAAGCTTTAAAGGAACTTTAAAGGAACTATAAAGGAGCCTTAAAGGAACTATGAAGGAGCCTTAAAGGAACTATGAAGGAACTATAAAGGAGCTTTAAAGGAGCTTTAAAGAAGCTTTAAAGGAACTATAAAGGAAGGAACTTTTTTTAGGGGAACTTATAGTCAGACAGTCAGACTCAAACTTTGATCGACCAAAAATCGACCAAACTTTGATCAAATTCTAGAAGAATCGATCGTTTTCTAGTTGTAGATGGAACTAAAACCCTCTATTTACCATTCAAGCACACAACAATCCAAAGTACAGTAGAGGAAAGAGCTGATGGAAAGATTTGACGGAAAAATCTGATGGAATGAGTTGGCGTAAAAATCTAGAATCAAATAGAACCAATCTTTCTGTTGTCAGCGTTTTCTGGAGTCTAAACCGTGGAAAAACGATCGTATGGCTGTAGTTTAGCCTTTTATTGAGCTATTTTTCGATTGTAAGACAAGCCCCGCCCCTTTTTCCCATTGGCAAACTTTGAACTCAAATTTCTCGGTGCTGGACTATCCAATTTAAACATTCTTAATATCATTAGATTCGCCAAGTCTTTCTCTATCGATTGGTAAAAAAACTATTGAAATTGAACAATCCAGCGCTGAGATATTTGAGTTCAAAGTTAGATTGGCAAAAGGGGCGGGGCGCGGCGCGTATAAAAGGCGTCCCGTTCCGTTGGCAGTTCTTAAGCTTTGGCAATTATTGAAATGATTGAAATTGGACAGAAATGGACTCTGATTGGGATTCGATAGCGATAAGAGTATAAAAGGTCTTCTGGCTCCGCCCCTTTTGCCAATCTAACTTTCAACTCAAATTTCTCGGTGTTCAGCTGTCCAATTTAAATGTTTTTGGTATCATTAGATTTGCCAAGTCTTTCTCTATCGATTGGTAGAAAAACTATTGAAATTGAACAATCCAGCGCTGAGATATTTGAGTTCAAAGTTGGATTGCCAATGGCAAAAGGGGCGGGACCTGCCAGCTTTTATACGCCCCCTTTCACCATTGGCAATCTAACTGGCATCCTTGTTCCTTTTATAAAATAGCAATAGCAAAGGGCGCGCGTATAAAAGCTTCCCCATACACGCCCCGCCCCTTTTGCCAATCTAACTTTGAACTCAAATATCTCAGCGCTGGATTGTTCAATTTCAATAGTTTTTCTACCAATCGATAGAGAAAGACTTGGCAAATCTAATGATACCAAGAACATTTGAATTGGACAGCCCAACACCGAGAAATTTGAGTTCAAAGTTTGGCAATGGGAAAAAGGGGCGGGGCTTGTTCGATGACTCAGCAGATTTGATTCTTTGGATAACTAATGACCTTTCCAATGGATGGTTTAAAGATAGTCGAATAACTGTACCAAATATAGCAGCCAGTCAATGTTTACCCCATCCAGTTACCAGGCTTCCTCACTTCCCCACTTCCCCACTTCCCCACTTCCCATCTTCCCATTTCCCACTTCCCCATTTCCCACCCTTCTCTCCCTTCTCCACATTCCCACTCACTTCCCTCAAATGTGCCAATTTGTTGTCAAATTTGGGAGCATTTGTGAACACTTGTTCTTCAAAAATTCGCTCAAGAATGAAAAAAAATGGATTTTCTTTAAGAAGAAGTTCACGAATTCTTCTTTAAAATAGTTTTTTTTGAATGTTTTTTATCTTTTCTCTTACTCAACAAATCACACCAGTGAATTCAAATCGGTCTTTCTTTTGTTTTTTTTTCGCACAAATTTCTTTATATTATCGAGATATCAAAATAAATATTCATTTAATGAAATTGATTATGTTAATGCGAAATTACATACATAGCTTTAGGCTTTTTTTTTATTTGATTTCCTTTTAGATGTAGCCGTTTGCGAAATTCAGCCGCTAACGAATGATTTGTTAGTGGCTAGCCGATTACGAATGATTCGTTAGCTGCTAGCCGATTGATTCGTAGGCTTAGGCTACGGCTTAGGAATCAATCGGCTAGCCGCTAACGAATGATTCGTTAGCTTTATTTGGGCTTGGGCTAAACCTCCCATTTGCTGGATCTCGGTCAGTTCTCAGATTAGGCTTAGGCTCAGGCTCAGGCTTAGGCTTAGGCTTAGGCTTAGGCTTAGGAATCAATCGGGTAGCGAATGATTTGTAATCGGCTAGCCGATTGATTCCTAAGCCTAAGCCTAAGCCTAAGCCTAATCAAGCGGCTGGGCCTTAGCTCCGGGAACTGCATGAGATCCAGAAAATGGGGGTTTAGCCCAAACCCAGAGCTTGGGCTTGGACTTAGTGCGAGGCGCTAGCCGCTAGCCTTCGCACTATGCTGAAGCCTAAGCTCAAGCCTAAGCTCAAGCCTAAGCCTAAGCTAAAGCCTAAGCTAAAGCCTAAGCCCAAGCCTAAGCTCAAGCCTAAGCCTGCTAATCAATCGGCTAGCCGCTAACGGATGAATCAGCGGCTGAATTTCGTAAACGGTTACGACATATATATATGCTTTATTCAGGGGCGAATAGAAGCAAATCAGATAATCATAACCTCATTCTAGCAGAGCATTATTCTCTACAATAGAAACAAGCAAGACTCTAGCTGAGCATTATTCTAGCAATAGCATTATCGTCTACAACAGAAACAAGCAATCTTCGTGAATGAACTCGAGAAAGCCATTCAAGAAGCCTGGAACACAGTCGACAATACTTCAGTCGACAATACTTCAGTCAACAAAACCTTGTCTCTGCGGGATACCGAGATTCGGATCTCTTCTTCAATCTCTCTTCGATCTCTCTTCGATCCTTGTCTTTTTAAAGTTAGACTAAAGCAAGAAGGGCTTTATTTTATTTGTTTATTTATTTTTCTTCTACAGCTATTGAGTATTCTTTTTATTTTGATATTTCTAAAATAAACATTATTTAATAGGAACTTAACAAAACAAACAAATGAAATTTTAGGCGAATCTTAATCCTACCGTAAATACTGTAATAGTACCCCACCCCCATAATGACGATGCGGAGTGCTACGTAGTCGAGCTTTGGACGCGTTTTTCTCGACGCTGGTTTATGCTACAATGTCCGTTTTGGTATCAAAAAATAGCTGAAATTCAGGGCTATTTTTTGATACTAAAGACGCTTTTTTTGAAAGTACGGGTGCTTTGAAAAATACTAAAAACCTTTTGCGACTACGCGACTGTACGATCCAGCCCAGGGCCAGATCCAGATCCAGCCCAGGGCCAGATCCAAGCCAGGCTTAACCGGATCCAACCAGATCAAAAACCGGATCCAGGGTTTCAAGGTAGGAAGGTAGGTTTCAGACCGGACCTAGAACTAGACCTGGCTTCTGATCCAGCCCAGGGCCAGATCCAGCCCAGGGCCAGATCCAGCCCAGGGCCAGATCCAGCCCAGGGCCAGATCCAGCCCAGGGCCAGTTCCAGCCCAGGGCCAGTTCCAGCCCAGGGCCAGTTCCAGCCCAGGGCCAGTTCCAGCCCAGGGCCAGTTCCAGCCAGGGCCAGTTCCAGCCCAGGGCCAGTTCCAGCCCAGGGCCAGTTCCAGCCCAGGGCCAGTTCCAGCCCAGGGCCAGTTCCAGCCCAGGGGCCAGTTCCAGCCCAGGGCCAGTTCCAGCCCAGGGCCAGTTCCAGCCCAGGGCCAGTTCCAGCCCAG